CCAGAAGACAAATGCAATGTTAGGAAAAGGGGCTGCACCCCATAATCCGGTGGGGAAGATGCAAGTGAAAACACTTTTTTTCATGAGGTAGAAATAAACAGCAAGAAATTGTGGTTCTAGTTGGATTCTTAATATATAAGCTAATATAAATTCATCAGCCAAAGCAAGGTTGCCTTTGATTTTGAAGTTGTCTTAAAAGTAAATCAACTGGCTCGGCGCCTGTGGCTCAAGAGGCTAAGGCACCAGCCACATACACCTAAGGTGGCAGGTTCGAATCCCCAGCCCAGGCCCGCCAAACAACAACGATGGCTGCAACCAAAAAATGGCCGGGCACTGTGGCAGGCGCCTGTAGTCCCAGCTACTTGGGAGGCTGAGGCAGGAGATTCGCTTGAGCCCAGGAGTTGGAGGTTGCTGTGAGCTGTAATGCCACGGCACTCTACCCAGGGGGACAGCTTGAGGCTCCGTCTCAAAAAAAAAAAAAAAAAAAAAAATCAATCAACTATAGAGAAACCATAAGGTCAATCAAAGGAGATAATATGTAAGAAAATGTTTGTCTTTAATATTTTCCCTTCTAAAACTAGTTTTGGAAAGCCATTATCACTATAAACCTTATTTCTATTTCTATTGTAATGGAAATAGTGTAGTGTGTAAAGATCTGGGCTATTATGGTTCTCAATATTAAACAAGAGAATGATGTAAGACTAAAAGTGCTACCTAAAAGGAAAGGATCACTATCATTTCAAACATTATCTAGCTTAATATTTAATGTAGTTTTGTCTCTGTAGCCTCTTATTGGCTATATGAAAAGGCTTTAGATGTAATTCCTAAGACCATGATCTTTGCAATGCAACCATCTAAGCTTGAATCTTGAGCACCCTCCCCCCCCAATTGCTAGTTATGACATTAGGGATGCTATTTCTCTGTGACTGTTTCCTTACCTATAGCATGAGTATAATAATGTTCCTCTCTCATGGAGGTAGTTGTAAGGATTAAATTAGTTTATAAATATAACTTAAAAGAGAGCCAGGTTGTTTAAAAAGTACTTAGCTATCAAAACTAAGGAGGCTGCATTAAAAGATATCACAAAAATAATCTTCTCAGCAAAGCTGTAATAGTTTAATCAAGTCTCAACAAAGATTTAGGCTCAAAAAAATTGGCAAAGATAGTACAGAATTGAGTATTTCATGTATATTTGATGCCAGAATCAAATAGAGCCGCTGCCAACCTCAGAGTGAGATTGATCTTCCTAGAACAGTCCATTTAACAAATAACTGAGCACCTATTATATCCCTAGTATACTACAGAAAAAAATTCCAAGACTGGTAATCCTAAACCCAAGCTATAGCTCTGCAGCCTTGATCAGGTCCCAAAATCCTAGAATATAAACATCAGAGAATGCCCAGTTGACATACAACTTAATTCTTCTCAAATCAAAACTGTATAATTATATTATTTTTGTGGGATTTCTTCCTGTGTTTATTCAAGTTCACCACCTTTATTCTCCTTTGAAGTCTTAAGAGGGAAATGATTACTTAATGATCCAGCTCAATATTGGACTTCCAACTGACTTTAAGAAAAAATTCTTCTTGAAGACAAATGCTAATTTAAAAAAGCTTTTAGAAATATTTTCATTAACCTTGTTATTTTACTGGTCTTAAGCAAATGACATCTGCTTCTAGAAACCTTAATTTTAAGTTTCTCCGCAGTACCTTCCTTAGATAATGTCAGTTGTTAAAACTATGCTCATTTCCAGTAAAAACAGTAACAAAATAAAAAAATCCAGAATTCCTCTATTTTCTTTAGTTAAAAATTGTCCTCATTATGCTTACATTACATTATGCCTTACATTTTTAAAGAAAGGATATCTTTAAGTTGATATGCTGATTTTTATTTCAAAAGATGCTTTTCAAATCTTACTAATATTAGTGTTTTTCCTATTTCATTAATTTTAAGGTCCTTGTAAGGCAATTGTTTCTATAATGCACACATCCATAATTGGTAGGATGCCCTTGTTTTAATTTGTATTTGCCTCCCTAAAACAATCCCCCCAGTTTTGCTGTGCAGTACAATAAATAATGAACAAGTCTGATTTTTTTCTTGGCAAGGTTCTCAGTACCTCCAGCCACTCTTTACAACATTCAAACACCTCTTATTTTTTCCATTGTCTGAACACACTTTAGTTGGGTCACATTTATATTTGTGGCCTTACATGAGTCACACACCAAGTTTAATTAGCCAAGTGCTATGGTACACATCTGTAATCCCAGCTACTTGGGAGGCTGAGACAGGAAGATCACTTGAGCCCAGGAGTTTGAGAACAGCCTGGGTAACATAATCAAACTTTGTTTCAAAAGACAAAACAAAATAAAAAATACGAAGAATTTAACCTAAACAAATGAAGAATGTACATGTTAGTTTTGAAATTTGTTGAATCCCTTACCTATAGATTCCAAAATAAACAGAAACCAAGACCATCTGGTGTTATTGGCAATAAAGACAACATTGAAGACATTTAGTTTCTTTATGAACAGAACACAAGAAATATTTTTAAAATTACATATTTTCCCTGACATTATGCCTATATAGCACTTTCCAGAAAGAAGAAACTATCAATTCTTTTCTTTTATTTCTTATGCAATCATGGGGTACAGTGTGCTGTTTTCATATACATTTTGAAATACTCTGATCAAACTGGTTGACATAACCTCCATGTCATTTTCTTAGTTATTGAGTTAAAACGTTCATACTCTGCTTTTAGAAAGATTCACTTGTATCCTTGTAAGATTAACAGCCACCTACCCCCACCAAAAGGTGGGGAGAGAAGAAGCCAAGAACGCAGTGGGCGCCAGCTCGCTGTTCGGCCCCCCACCACGCAACACCGTAGGGAATGAGTGAGGGGCCCCAAAGGCCTCGTCAGCTTCCAACACGGCCTGGACCCCTGACAACTCCTCGGGGACACACGCACATTAGACTCTGTGAGAGTCACGACCCCAAGGGGACACCCAAGGAAACAGGGACGCCGCCACCGTTTGGCCTCAAGCACCTGGGGAAACAACCCGGTACACTCCGAGGGCACCGCAAAGGGCCAGACGGACCCAAACCGCTCACGCACCAACCAAGGCGCACGACTGGGCCTCGGTGGCGCCATGGGGCAGGGCCGCCCACAAGAAGACCACTGGCAGAGAGCGAACGAGGGATACTCGCTAAGTCAGGAAGGACCAGCCCAGCCCCACGAGACCGGGGAAGGAGGTCAGGGCCCCCAGGTGGCACATCCTCCCACGCCCCCCACCCCCACACCGACCACGGGCGGGGAGGCCGCAGGCAGAAGGAGAAGAGCGGGTCCGTTTGCTAAGGAATGCCCGTCCCTCGCCTATCATGCACGGCTTAGGGGCCCGGGAGAGCATGACATCACCACATCGATGAAATTATCAATTCTTAAAGCTTCAAATTCCTTGGGTTTTGGTAGTACCTAAACATACCTAAGACTCAAGCCTGTTTCTTTTTTTTTTTTTTTTGAGACAGAGCCTCAAGCTATCCCCCTGGGTAGAGTGCCATGGCATCACAGCTCACAGCAACCTCCAACTCCTGGGCTCAAGCGAGTCTCCTGCCTCAGCCTCCCAAGTAGCTGGAACCACAGGCGCCCGCCACAGGCCTGGCTATTTTTTGGTTGCGGCCGTCATTGTTTTGGCGGGCCGGTCTGGATTTGAACCCACTTTAGGTGTATGTAGCTGGCGCCAAGCCTCAAGCCTGTTTCTTATTTTAACTTTTCAAAGTACACAATATCCACCAAAATGCTGACAAAAGTGGCCTAACAGAGGATTTGACCAGAAATCTGTACTATAGACCTGTGTTGGGGATAAACACTCTTCAATATAGACTCAGACTTTTAAACCTCCAAAACACAAGTTTCTTTGTTTTATTAGCCCAGTTGTTTCTCAGATTCTAAGCCTGCCATTATAAGTTAAATTACTATTGCTCTTAAGTGTAACTACATTAAAAAATTAGTGTAGGAAAAATGAGTTGAGACATATCATTTTTCTTTGCCTTCTAAATTAGTCCAATTCTGAAAGTCATTGTAATAGATAGGCCAAACATTTACTAAGTTCATTTATAATGTCATGTTACATTTTATTACCATAAATATGCTTAAACAGAAATACATATTATTGTTAGCTATCATTAATGGTAAGAAATGTCTTTTGAATATCAAGGGTGAATTCTATAATTTGGAATAACATAGCTGTTTGATAAATTTAACATAACTATCAGGGTACAAAAGAAAAAAACAAATTCATAATATAATACACTGGTGTTACATTTCTTTCAACAAATTCTGAGCTGCACGTATATTTCTACAGTTATTTTTCTCACCTTCCTGGTCTAAACACTTCCCTAATCTCCCTTGCCTCAAAATGCTCTTCTCAATATGGAAAGGTACCCTTGGGGAGGACATGGAGGTTGAGGAAGCAGCCACAGGGTAAAAAAGGTGCACCTTCCTGTATCCTCAATTTTTATTTTTATTTTTTTTTGAGACAGAGCCTCAAGCTGTCCCCCTGGGTAGAGTAATGTGAAATCACAGCTCACAGCAACCTCCAACTCCTGAGCTCAAGCGAGTCTCCTGCCTCCGCCTCCCAAGTAGCTGGGACCACGGGTGCCTGCCACAACGCCTGGCTATTTTTTTGTTGTTGTTGTAGCCATCATTGTTGTTTGGCAGGCCTGGGCTGGATTCGAACCCGTCACCTTAGGTGTATGTGGCTGGCGCCTTTGCCACTTGAGCCACAGGCGCTGAGCCTATCCTCAATTTTCAGGGGGAAAAAAATCCTAAAGTTCGTAGTATTTTTAACATAAAACTCAAGTAGGAAAAAATTCTAAGCCAGAAGCATATCACCGTGTCTCTTCTTTAGAAGCAGGCACTCTTTCTAGTTCCTGAAACAGTAGTGAATTGAATTAAGAAATAAATTCACTAATCCAAGTATGCAACTAGAAGAGAATATGAGGCTAATAGTAATTGTCTTTGGATTAAAAAAATGTGTTTCTGCAGAAATTTTAAAAAAGCTGGCAATAGCCAGGCCATGTTCTGAGCCTTATGGACACTGAAGTCATTAAGGTCCCTGAAAATGGCCTTAACAAATTTTAGTAATGTGACACATTTTCATAAGGCATAGTTAATTATTAAAGCTTGTTTGTGAGTAATGCTTATGAACTTAGTGGAGTTGCTAAATGCTAATGAGAAACTGCATATAACTTTTTTTTTTTTTAGGATTATGGCAAAGAATCTCAGGCCAAGGATGTCATTGAAGAGTACTTTAAATGCAAGAAATGGGGGGTGGTGCCCGTGGCTCAGTGAGTAGCGCACTGACCCCATATACCAAAGGTGGCGGGTTCGAACCTGGCCCCGGCCAAACTGCCACAAAAAATAGCCAGGCATTGTGGTGGGCACCTATAGTCCTAGCTACCTGGGAGGCTTAAACAACAGAATCACCTGAGTCCAGGAGCTAAAGGTTGCTGTGAGCTGTGATGCTATTGCACTCTAACAAGGGCAACAAAGTAAGATTGTGTCTCAAAAAAAAAGCAAGAAATGAATAAATAAAACTTTGGCTCATGTTCCTTAAAAAAAAAAAAATAAATGTGATTTTAAAATAGAATCTTCTGCCTTTTCTGAGGCTTTTATGTATACATATTACTTTTATAAGAAAAACTGAAATTTCTTTGAAAAAGGAATTCTTCACTTTTAGATCTGAAAGTTTCATTGCATTATCAAATATTTATGACTATAAAATATACCAAATTTGTATTACTGTACTTTATTAATGTAACTTCACAATCAGATTTGTGTATCCCTTTTCTTATACTTACCTTTTGAAGGTTCTAAGGGTAAGTTAGGAAATGACAATGAAGCCTGTCAACCAAGAATTCTAGAAGTGATTCTTAAATTCCTTTTTAATATTGCTTTGAAAACTTGAGTAAGCTGAGGATGGTGGCTCCTAGCACTCCGGGTGGGTGAACTGCCTGAGTTCATGGGATGCAGACCAGCCTGAGCAAGATCAAAACTCCGTCTTTAAAAAAATAGCTGGGCATTGTGGTGGGCACCAGTAAGTCCAGCTACTTGGGAGGCTAAGGCAAGAGAACTGCTTGAGCCCAAGAGTCTGAGGTTGCTGTGAGCTGTGACGCCACAGCACTCTACTGAGAGTAACAAAGTGAGATTCTATTTGGAAAAAAAAAAAAGAAAAAAACTTAGTTCTTGAACATAGTAGGATTCCCTACAGATTTCTAAAGTGGGTAAATAGGTGGCAAGGTTGCTTTAAATAATCACTTTTAAGGACTTTTTTCCCTTTTGAGAAACATTTCCCCAAGAAAATAAGGTCCCTCCCTCCTCAATATGATTCATCTCTTACCCAGGGTAGACCAGTGATAACAGTTTTATATATGTATTGTTCTAATCTTTTGATACTATTTGATAACCTTTTATTTACTTGCTCATGAATGTTTTAGCTCATTATTCACCTGGACTAGCTTAAATAGTTGCATAGTATTCTATTGAGCATGTTAACCAGCCTCTTACTACTGGACACTTCAATAATACTGTCATAAACACATTGGATTATTTCTTTTTTGCAGTTTTTGGCCGGGGCTAGGTTTGAACCCGCCACCTCTGGCATATGCAGCCGGCACCCTACTCCTCTGAGCCACAGGTGCCGCCCAGGATTATTTCTTAAAAAATGTATTTTTTGTTTTTTTGCGACAGTCTCACTTTGTTGCGAGTGCCAGTAGAGTGCCGTGACATTAGCTCACAGCAACCTCTGACTCTTGGGCTCAAGCAACTCTCTTGCCTAGCTTCCCGAGTAGCTGGGCCTACAGGTGCCATCCACAATACCTGGCTATTTTTAAGAGATGGGGTCTTGCTCTACCTCAGGCTGGTTTGTTTTTTTTTTTTTTTGCAGTTTTTGGCCGGGGCTGGGTTTGAACCTACCACCTCCAGCATATGGGGCTGGTGCCCTACTTCTTTGAGCCACAGGTGCTGCCCCTGAGGCTCGTCTTGAACCTGCCTCAGCCTCCCAGAGTGCTGGGAAAAAGAGTATATTTTTAAACTAATTTTATAATATTGGAAAATTATAATAACTATTCTTCTAATACGCTATTCTTCTAATACGCTATACTATATCTGGTTCACACATACCATTTAAGAAATAAAAAAAACCAACTATATAATTCATTGGCATAAAATTACAGATAAACTTTGGGATATGACGTTTAAGTTGCTGGGTTTTTTGTTTTTGTTTTTTTTTTGAGACAGTCTCACTTTGTCCCACTTGGAAGATTGCGGTGGCGTCATAGCTCACAGCAACCTCAAACTCTTAGGCTCAAGTGATTCTTTTACCTTACTCTCCTGAGTAGCTGGGATTACAGGCTCCTGCCACAACACCTAGCTATTTTTAAAATGACAAAGGTCTCACTGTGGCTCAGGCTGATCTAGAACTTGTGAGCTCAGGTGATCTGCCAGTCTCAGCCTCCCAGAGTGCTAGGATTACAGGTGTGAGCTACCTTGCCCTGCCTAGGTTAGTGTGTTTTGAAGTTCTGGATGTTTTAGTCTACCTCCTTTCTTCATTTTGTTTCTTAAATTTTTATTCATATTGCTAACACCTTTAAAATAATATGTATGAATAAATAAGGTACAATTAATGAATGAAATGTTATATATCTCAGGTGTGAGAAAAAGTCTAAGAACTACAGAAATAATATGTTCATGCCATGGGAAGAATGGTTAATACCAGTGTGGTAAAGTCAAAAAACACTTAGCACATATGAGAGATTTAGCCTAATTTTGAATAATGTACAGGAATTAGCTGAGGGAGAACTAGGGTGGAAAAAATGGCATAAAGATACAGAGATAAAAAAATGCATGGATCAGGACTAGAGATCATTTCAAGAAAAACTGAACAATTTAGAAAAGGTTGGGACATGATCATGAAGTACCAAGATAAAGAGTCTGAATTTTATAATACAGGAAAAAGCAACATTTTAGTAAGATTTAGTAGTATACACTATAGATAATGATGTTGCTAGTTAAAACAATTATGGGCAAAGAACTCCTAACATGTTGCTGAATAGGAGTAACAAAATAATTATAATAAAATTTCAAGGATGGAGAAATCAAAGACAATTGTGGTTTATTTGAGTAAATGATAATACAAACAAATTCAAAGTGTCTTTTAGAGCTTTTTTTTTTTTTGAGACAGAGTCTCACTTTGTCACCCTCGGTAGAGTGCCATGGCATCATAGCTTAAAAGCAACCTCCAACTCTTGGGCTCAATAACCCTTGCCTCAGCCTCCTGACTACCTGGGATTATAGGTGCCTGCCACAATGTCTGGCTATTTTTTAGGGACAGGGTCTTGCTCTTGCTCAGACTGGTCTCAAACCCGTGAGCTCAGGCAATCCACCTGTCTTGGCCTCCCAGAGTGCAAGGATTACAGGTTTGGGCCACCGGCCCAGCCAGAGCTATCGTTTCACAAATTTCTAAAAACATGATCATCACACATACTAATCACTTATTTCAACATTTTGTTTTTATTCTAAATGATCTCAGGTGGGAGTTCTAACCTCAAATCAGATTCATAAAAATATTCTACCTGCAAAGGTCAAGCAGCAGGCTGGGGCACATATAACTGTCAGGGTTGTTTTAAAGAAGTATAGAAAACTGAATCTCTAGATTAAACTATTAAATAGAAGTTTAAATAGCTGTAAGATCTGGGCCTTATAAATTCTAATCCTATTATCTAATCATTTTCCCTCTTATACATTTGATCACAGCCACACACATCCCCTTGCTGTTCCTTGTACAAAAAAATGCCTCAGCAGCTTTGTATTTGCTATCATCTACTTAAGGTGCTCTTCTCCCCGATACCTACATGGTTTGCTCCTTATTGTTTTTAGGTCTTTGTTCAAATGTTGTCTCTGTGATCTAAAACTATGTCTCTCCAGCCTTCCGAATAACTTTACTACAGCACTGCCACCTTCCTTCCTTAATTTTCCCCATAGAACTTAACACTATCTGACATACTGTTATAGTACCTATCAGTTTCTTCTCCATTTCTTACTTATACCCCAACCCCAGATTGTAAGCTCTATGAGCCTAGAATTTATCTTTTTTATTTGGCACCTAAGTAGAAGAATACGTGAATTTGTACCTCTTTCTATATGTTTGAAATCTATTTTTAATGCTGCCTATCAAATATTAACATTTTCACACTTTAGAAAAGACATTAATAAAATTATAAACAAACTGATATAAAAATCTATATAGACTAAGCTGGAATTTATCAGTTCTTTTAATAAAAGATATACCTAAACTTTCTCAACTTGGTATTTTTAACTACATAGAAACTTAAAAAAATTTCCCTATGGTTACTACCATAGGTATTAAGTCAAAACATAAAGTTTCATGGTACTGTAAGAACTTTTATCTCTGAAAATGTTAGGTCCCTAATTGTAAGCATTTCCTAAAATTATTAAATAAAAAAACATGGAAAGGGGTGGCTCCTGTGGCTCAAGGAGTGGCATATGGCCCCATATGCTGGAGGTGGTGGGTTCAAACTCAGCCCCGGCCAAAAACCACAAAAACCACAAAAAAAAAAAAAAGAAAAAACATGGAAAGAAGAAAACTATGGAGCAATTTAAAAGTTTCTACCACTTCCTAATGATATTCTTATTTATTTTATTTTTATCGTCGGGTATTCACTGAGGGTACAAAGAACCAGGTGACATTGATTGCATTTGTTAGGTAAACCTAAAGATATTCTTTAGTAGACATATTCATGCTAAGTAGATAAAACAAAGTTAGTGTTATAAAAAAAATATAGAATACATAGAATTATAAATTAATCCCATTGAGAAATATTAGTGTAAAAATGGCTTAAAATTTTCCTTTTGTGACAGAATTTCTCAAACAAAAATCTAAACTTATAGCATATGATAAATATAAGTAGTAATAAGATTCTTTAGTCAGTTACATTTCTTCAAAACAATAAGGTCTACTCACAAGAAAAATATCAGGCTATTCAAAGTCCTATAGAATTAAGATAAGATTTATTCTCATCAATATACTAAGTCATTATTCATATAGTTTTTACA